TATTTTATTTTCTTCTTTTATTTTTTCTTTTCTATTCCATTCCAATCCATTCCATATTTTCTATTCTATTCCATATTTTTTCTTTTCTTTCTTTTCTTTTCTATTCTATTCCATTCCATATTGTCTATTCTATTCTATTCTATTCCATTCCATATTTTCTATTCTATTCTATTCTATATTTTCTATTGTATTTTATTCTATTCTATTCTATATTTTCTTTTCTTTTCTATTCTATTCCGTATTTTCTATTGTATTTTATTCTATTCTATTCCATATTTTTCTATTTTATTCTATTCTAGTATAGTATAGTACAGTCCATTTTCATTTATTCTATCATGGTTAGGCCGTGTATATTGGAGGGGGTGACCCTTTGAGAGCTGCATGCATGAAATTTCATTTTAAGGTATGCAGATTAGTGTACATTTCAAGTGACAATAAAGTTATTCTCTACGTCTATGTCTCTACCCGCCTGGGAAAACATTGACTCCTGCTGCAAGAAGGAAGGTGTAAGAAGGTGTAAGAAGCTGAGAGAAGGCACAGAAAGAGGCAGGCTTTTCTTTTGTTTTTGGTCATTTGCATCAGCCTACCTCAAAGGGTTGCTGTGGGAATAACAGGAAGGGACATCCAAACACGGTCCTTGACTGCCTTGAATGCTCTGAGAAATGCAAGATTATATTTTTAAAAAGTGTCCTCCCCCCACCCCGCAAAGCCATGATTAATCCCAACAAATGCACTCATTTCAGTCTTTATTTTGATAAGCTGGTCTTTTCATTCAAGCAGACGACCACATGAAGGTATATAACAGCTGCCCTCCCGTGTCTCTGATGGTCTTTCCCGCTTATGGAGTTCAAGTGCTCTTCACCCCCTCCTTGAGTCAGAAAAATGGTATGGCCTTAAAGGGGCTGCCTCCACAGCTGATGCTCCTCCCACCTCTGTCTTTTCCAAGTCTCTTGTCAAATGGCCTCTCCTGATTGATGCATCCGCTGCTGCTCGCGATTGGTTTCTCCCCCTGGCCTCCTTCCGCTCAACCCCCAATCAGTAAGGAGTTTCTCGCCAATCAGGGCACTGAAACAATAAAAGGGGAGGATCTCTCTGCTCGGTTCCTGCCCACTTTGGGCATCTCCCAAATTAAAACAAGGGGGGATTGAGGAATGGAAGGAAGATACCAAAGCAGAAATAGGGTGGTAAACCCTTCCTCACTAGTCCTTGACTTACGGCCACAATTAGGGCCAGAATTTCAGGTGCTAAGCAAGGTGGTTGTTTATGTCGGTCATGCCCAATTATACCACCTTTTTTTTTTTTTGCCATGGCTGTTAAGCAAATCACTGCCATTGTTAAATGAATCACACAGTCATTAAGCGAATCCGGCTTCCCCTATTGACTTTACTGGATGGGAAGGTGGCACATGGGGATCACATGGATTGCCGCAACCACCCTACATATATGAGGGTTGCCAAGCACCTGAATTTAGTTCACATGTCAAGGTCGTAAGTCTGAGGACGGCCCTAACTCACTGTTTTTCAATGCCGTTGTAATTTGGCACGGTCATTAAATGAGGACTACCTGTCCTGAATCGTTCTTCCGCTCAGCTGTTAGCAGGCCTGAACTGGGGGGAGAGGGGGGAAAGGTAGGGTCTGCTTGGGCAGGGGGGTTGGACTAGATGACCTACAAGGTCCCTTCCAACTCTGTTGATCTCTAAATCATAATCATATTTGACTTTTTGCAACACAGGTTTGTTTCCGACTTTGGAAAGGCGGTGGAAAGTTTCTCCTTTTGGTTTTGTTTTGTTTTTTTTATGCAAGGGAACCACCAAATATCTTTTTGTTTTCCAAATTTGGTGTTTGCGGAATGAAAATATCATGTCACTTTCTCCAAATTGGTTTTCCCTGCTCAGTTTCTGTCCAGTTTCCTCCCTGGTACGGAAGGTTCTATTTATCTGAAGCTAGTGAAAGAGAACCTCCAGGTTTAAGAGCAGTCTACCTGTGAGTTTTGAGGAGGTTTGGGGGGTGGGGGGAGGTGCCACCTTTTGTCCTATTGTGGATCCTCCAGTGAGGCTGTTAAGAAGGAAAACAGCATCTATCTCTCTGGAGGTGGGAGACAATTTTCCACCTGCGCACACCTGTGGCTGGGAGGACTTCAACTCCCAGAATTCCCCAGCCATGCATTGGAATGCTGGGAGTTGAAGTCCACCCATCTTTTAAGCATGCTAGCTGGGGAATTCTGGGAGTTGAAATCCACTCTCTTTAAAGCATGTGGGCTGGGGGAATTCTGGGAATTGAAGTCCCATCTCCTTAAAGCATGTGGGCTGGGGGAATTCTGGGAATTGAAGTCCCATCTCCTTAAAGCATGTGGGCTGGGGGAATTCTGGGAATTGAAGTCCCATCTCCTTAAAAGCATGTGGGCTGGGGGAATTCTGGGAATTGAAGTCCCATCTCCTTAAAAGCATGTTGGCTGGGGGAATTCTGGGAACTGAAGTCCCATCTCCTTAAAGCATGTTGGCTGGGGGAATTCTGGGAATTGAAGTCCCATCTCCTTAAAGCATGTGAGCTGGGGAATTCTGGGAATTGAAGTCCACACCTCTCTTGAAAGGTGAGACATGCTCGGCCTTAAGAGCTTTTGATGAATCTCAAGTCACACCTCTCTTTTCGGCTGGACGCCCTGTACCCAGGAGACTTGGAAAGGGGCAGGGGGCGCTGAGATGACGGCACCCCACGGATGAGGGGCATTCTCCGGCAAGATGGGAGACAGCTGCTCTTCCTTGCCATCTTCACCTGGGCCGCCAGTCCGGTTCCTTCTGCCAAGCCTGGACGACAACACCGAGGCGACCAGCAGCACCCCAGCAATGGCACACAGCACCATCCCGACAGCTCGGGAGATGCCCAGGGCACCGTTGTACTCTACGGCTCGCTGGTCCAGCACCACAAACTCAGCTTCCCCAATGTCTTCCAACTTGGAGGGCAGGAGGGACCCCGTGGTTAAAGCCGCCAGGCCGATCAGCAACAGCAGAATCCCGACGGAAAGCGTCACCTTGAAACGAGAAGGTAGAATGAGAGACAGCTTGGGCAGCGTCCTGGCCTAGACATCCCCAAGATCACGAAGCCGAACTCCTCGTCCCGATAAAAGCCCTTTTTATTTAGGTTCAAGGGAATTCCTCTCCGGCAAAGTCCCGACAAACAAGTCTTTCCTGAGATTTCACAACTACAGACCTTGATCAGGCTGGGAGAGTTGCCAGGCCGATAGCTTCCAAACGCCACGCTGTAGCAGCAAGGACTTGGCAAGGAGTCAGGAACAGGTCTTCACCCTAATGAATTGAACTAAGTGCAAACCCCACTCCCCTTTCACTCCTCTTTTTATTCCCTTTGGGAGGGGCCATTCACTGTCCACCTGTGGCTTTACTCCCAAGTTGGCCCTTGTTCCTCAGCTGTTCCCTTCATCTGGCAGCTCTGTGCATGCGCACATTGGGAACAGGCTCCAGCTGTTCTTCTTCCCCACTGATCTCCGACTCTGAAGGCAGCTGATAACTGTCGGATGGCCCTGGCCCCATCTCTGCCTCTGACAACTCATCAGAGCCTTCCCCAGACTCTAGGACTGGCCCATGTTCCTCCCCAACCTCCTCACTGTCTGAGTCTGCCACCAGTTCCACTGGCCGCTGGTGCCGCCACAACAGGCGGGGTTGGTCTGGATGATCTATGAGGCCCCTTCCAACTCTGTTCATCTGTCTGTCTGTATCCTTGTGCACTAATTCCGAGGAATGCTTTGCAGTGGTCATTGGGAGGTTTTACAGGCAGTCCTCGACCCCAACGGAGCACAACATTTCCGTTGCTAAGCGAAATGGTTACTAAGTGAATCCTGTCCCATTTTGCAACCTTTCTTGCCACCATTATTAAGCAAATCGCTGCAGTTGTTAAAGTGAGCCATGTGGTCATTAAACAAATCTGGCTTCCCCCTTCGCCTTCGCTTGTCTGAAGGTGGCAAATAGGGATCACACGATCCCAAGATACAGCAACGATCATAAATATGTGCCGGTAACCAAAGCATCTTAATTTTGATTGCGTGACCAGGGGGGAATGCTACAACGGTCGTAAGTGTGGGAAACAGTCAAAGTCACTTTTTTCACCGCCGTTGCAGCTTTGAATGGTCTCTAAACAAATGTTTAAAGGATTACCTGTACTAATAGGCTAATTTATCAAACTAGGCCTGAAACTCTGGCTAAGCCCAAAATTAAACAAATCAAGGTTACCACTAACCAAGTTTAGTGTGTTGCATAAAAGCAGCTATTCACTCTTCCACTGTCGCAAAAGTGCTTTTTTCAGGAGGCAACTGGACTTCCTTGGTTTTTCTTTGAAGACGTTTCACTTCTCATCCAAGAAGCGTCTTCAACTCTGACTGAATGGTGGGGAAATGGAAGGATTTATATCCCTAGCAGGCAGCTGGTCATTTGTCCAGTTTGCCTCCTGAAAAAAAAGCACATTTGGGACAACCATGATCTGGATGGCTTGGAATCTCCATAGTTTTTTAGCTATACAATTTGGGATTGACCCCTCTTTGAATGATGTGGGAATAGGAATGGATTTCCAGAGGAAAAATTGCAGACTATAGGAACCATTTGCACCACTCAGGTGACCCTGAAGACACATAAACTTCCAAGTGGTCTCAATGACCCTCTAAAAGGATGCAAATGACCAGCTGTCTGCCCTGCCTTTCCATGCACAGTCCTGTTCTCAGATGCCTTCTTACCTTCCTACACTGAAATCAATCTTAAATAACAGATAACAAATAATCGGAGTTGGAAGAGGACCTTGTAGGTCATCTAGTCCAGCCCACCACCCAAGCGAGAGACTCTACACCATTTCTGACTTGTAAATTGTGTTAACAGAGGGAAACAATCAAGATCAAGGGAAGTACTAATAACACTCTATAAAGCCTTAGTAAGACCATACCTAGAGTACTGCATCCAGTTTTGGTCACCACACTATAAAAAAGATGTTGAGCCTCTAGAAAAAGTGCAGAGAAGAGCAACCAGGATGATTAGGGGACTGGAGGCTAAAACATACAATGAACGGTTGCAGGAACTGGGCTTGGATGGTCTAGTAAAGAGAAGGACCAGGGGAGACAGGATAGCGGTCTTCCAATATTTGAGGGGCTGCCACAGGGAGGAGGAGGGGGTCAAGCTATTCTCCAAGGCACCCGAAGGCCAGACAAGGAATAATGGATGGAAGCTGATCAAGGAGAGATTCAACCTGGAAATAAGGAGAAGCTTTCTGACAGTGAGAACAATTAACCAATGGAACAGAAGTTGCCTTCAGAAGTTGTGGGAGCGCCATCACTTGAGACTTTCAAGAAGAGATTGGACTGCCATTAGTCAGAAATGGTGTAGGGTCTCCCGCTTGGGCGGGGGGTTGGACTAGATGACCTACAAGGTCCCTTCCAACTCTGATTATCTGTTAAATCTGACAAATGGCAGTTCAATCTCTTCTTGAAAGCCTCCAGGGATGAAGCTCCCACAATTTCCAAAGGCAACTTCTGTTCCACTGCTTGATTGTTCTCACTGTCAGAAAGTTTCCCCTTATGTCCAGGTTGAATCTCTCCTTGATCAGTTTCCATCCATTATTCCTTGTCTGACCTTCAAAGGTGCTTTAGAACATGGCTTGACCCCCTTCCTCCTCTCTGGGGCAGCCCCTCAAATATTGGAAGGCTGCTCTCCTGTCTCCCCTGGTCCTTCTCTTCTTCCCTAGACTAGCCAGGCCCAGTTCCTGCAACCGTTCATCGTATATTTTAGCCTCCAGTCCCCTCATCCTCCTGGTTGCTCTTCTCTGCACTTTTTCTAGAGTCTATATAAAAGCATTTCCAGCTGAGGTATTCTGGGAGTTGAAGTCCACTTGCCTTAAAGTGGTCAAGGATGTGAAACACTGACCTTAAGATCCACTCCTTGCCTGCAGATGGCACCAGAGCCACCCCAGAGGCTAACCAAAGTGGGTTCCAGATGTGTCCTGAGCAGAAAGGGGAAGGGGCTGCAAATCAGCTCTTGGGACCCCCAATTGCCTCAAAAGCCCTACCCTGTTTCCCTGAAAATAAGCCCCGACTGGAAAATAAGCCCTAGCATTGATTTTTTTTTAAAGGATGCTCATAATATATTATGTATTATAATTACCCCCAAAATAAGCCCCAGTTAAGATTGTCAGCCAGACGGATGCATTTGGAACCGTATTTCCCTGAAAATAAGTCCTAACCGGAAAAATAAGCCCTAATGCGTCTTTTGGAGCAAAATTTAATATAAGGCAGGGTCTTATTTTCGGGAAAACATGGTATGCAACCTTCCAGCATATGTTTGACGCCAACCCAACATTTATGCCACTGAATCAGATGTTTTCCCACTTAGCTGCTTGACCTAAAGTGGGGGGGGGTGTCTCCCAACGTGGCCACTTTACAGATAACAGATCATCAGAGTTGGAAGGGACCTTGTAGGTCATCTAGTCCAACCCCTTGCCCAAGCGGGAGACCCTACACTATTTCTGACAGAGGGCAGTCCAGTCTCTTTTTGAAAGCCTCCAGGGATGAAGCTCCCACAACTTCCGAGGGCAACTTCTGTTCCATGTGTTGATTGTTCTCACTGTCAAAAAGTTTCTCCTTATTTCCAGGTTGAATCTCTCCTTGTTCAGTTTCCATCCATTATCCCTTGTCTGGCCTTCAGGGGCTTTAGAACATGGCTTGACCCCCATCCTCCTCTCTGGGGCAGCCCCTCAAATATTGGAAGGCTGCTCTCCTGTCTCCCCTGGTCCTTCT